GGGCAGTTTTCCTTGATAATTTCTTGAAAGATGATGTCTGGGCTCTTTTTTTGATCATGGCTTTCAGATAGTCCAATAATTTTTAAATTCTCTCTCCTGGATCTATTTTCCAGGTCAGTTATTTTTCCAATGAGATATTCCACATTGTTTTCTAATTTTTCATTCTTTTGGATTTGTTCTGTGTCGTGATTTCTCATAATGTCACTGTCTTCCAATTGCTCCATTCTAATTTTTAAGGAAGTATTTTCTTCAGTAATCTTTTAGACTTCCTTTTCCATTTGGCCAATTTTGCTTTTTAGGGCATTCTTCTCCTCATTGGCTTTTTGGACCTCTTTTGCCATTTGGGTTAGGCTATTTTTTAAGGTGTTATTTATTTCAGTATTTTTTTGGGTCTCCTTTAGCAAGCTGTTGACTTGTTTTTCATGATTTTCTCGCATCACTCTCATTTCTCTTCCCAGTTTTTCCTCTCCTTCCCTTACTTGCTTCTCAAAATCCCTTTTGAGCTCTTCCAAAGCCTGTGACTGTTTTCATATTTTTCTTGGAGGCTTTGGATGTAGGAGTTTTGACTCTGTTGTCTTCTTCTAGTTGTATATTTTGATCTTCTTTGTCACCAAAGTAAGATAATATAGTCTGACTCTTTTTGCACTGCTTCCTCATGATCCCAGCCAATTACTTGAGTTTTAAACTCTTTGTTAAGGTAAAAGTCTGCTTCCAATGTGGAGAATGTACTGTCCCTCAGCTTTGGGGGTTTGTACAGCTGTTTTCAGAGATACTTGTAGGGGGCAGCTAGGTGGCGCAGTGGATAGAGCACCAGCCCTGGATTCAGGAGGACCTGAGTTCAAATCCGGCCTCAGACACATAACACTTACTAGCTGTGTGACTCTGGGCAAGTCACTTAACCCCACTGCCTAGCCAAAAACAAACAAAAAAACAGAGATACTTGTAGGGATCTGTAAATTTTCAGTTCTTCCAAGGTGGTATGATAAGGGGTGAGGTGTTTACTCCTTTCCTGGCCTGTGACCACAAGTACTCCTTTCCGTCCTGTAACTGTGAGGAGGGTTTCCTCTCCCCAGCTACTATAAGCTCCACCACACCAGCGTTCCTCCTCACCCCAGGACCGCCGCCCAGAACTGTGATCCAGATCCGAACACAGGCAAAGCAAGAGATTCCTGCCTCAGCAATGGCAAAGAGATCCCTGCAATCCCCCTCTGATCAGCCACTGGATTCCCCCTCAGTCTGTGGGCCGGAAGTTCAGGAGGCAGCTACCCCGCCCACGGCCACACTCTTGGGTAATGGAACTGAGACCCTGCGTTCCTCTCTCAGCACCACAGAAACAGAGTTTTCCCACTGACCTTCTAAGGTGTCATTGGCATTCATGGATTGAGGAGTCTGGAAGCTGCCCAGCTGCCACAGTCCTGAGGCCTACTCCAGGTTCACTGCAGCCTGTGTGCCCATGCCGTGCTGCACTCTACTCCCAGCCCAGCGTGATATACCTTTCTGATCAACTATCCAGGTTGTCTTGGGCTGGAAATTTGTTTCACTCTGTCTTTTTGTGGGTTCTGGTGCTTTAGAATTTGTTTAGAGCCATTTTTTATGAGTATTTGGAGGGGTTTGGGGGAGAGCTCAAGCAAGTCACTGCTTTCACTCCGCCATCTTGGCTCTGCCCTTTCAAGGAGCTTACATTCTTAGATTTTTCCTAATTCTTGTTGAACAGTAATTTAATCTCACCCTGGAAACATATTGATCTACTTGCAGTATAGGAGACACCAAAATGTAAAGAACTTCTTTGTCAATAAATCTAAAAAGCCTAGAAGGTTCCATCTCCAGTCATCCTGATTTATATCTTGCCACTGCACTCAGATGGCTCCAGAGGAGAAAGTGAGGCTGGAGACTTTGCACAGCCCTCCAATTCACTTGCAAGTCATGGCATCACCTTCCTGATGTCATGGTCCTCTTTGAGAATGAAGGACAAACAACAGACAGCTAAGAAGGCAAAATTATCTTACAACCAAAACTACAGGTCATTCTAAAATGTGCACCATAATCACTACCCTCTTCTAAGACAAAACTCAAAAAGCTTTAAAAGAAAAGGCAAGTCTGATGCCTACTGTTGATTCGTTCAGGAAACATTTGCTCCAATATACTGCCATGACTGATGTCTGATATCATTCACTTCACTAGATAAGAGACACAAAAATGACTAGTCATAATTACACATAAAGCTAATGGAGGGGCCAGGAATAAAATTTAGATCTTTTCCCTTCTATTATAAGTAGACCCTGGTCCTGTGTTATTGCTGCTTTAATAGGATATATACGTCACTATTTCAAGGATCTGTGATTTTACCTATGTGTAGACAACCTTCTAATAAGAAACTGTAACATGTATGTACCTTAGTAAGTGGTCTTCATGAGTTGAAGTAGCTAAAAAAAATCATCTGGTAACTAAACTTCTGTTACCTAATCCTTATATTAGGGAAAGTCCTTGGTCAAGAGTCAGTCACTGAGTTTATCTCTGAAGTTCTTCCTGTTCATCAGAACCTCCCAGAATTCATTCTCTGCTGGTATAGTCTTTATAAGAACCCTGGGTATTTCTATGCCATGATAAGGCATCAGAATAAGGCCTTAGTCAAAATATGAAATGGTAAACAAATTGTCACAGTTCTACACATACTACAGTAAACATTATATACTCAGTAATCTGAGAATAAGATTAATTTTTTTATGCCTTTAATCACTGACATAGTTTAAAGTAGTATAGTTTTGGTGATGTGGTTTTGTTTTGTTTTGTTTTTTCAGTTTGGAACAGGTCTGTTCTATTATTATCTCAGTGAGAAATAATTGTTAATTGCACACCCCAGAGGGCAAACCAATGAATTCAGTAAGAATTTAATTTATAAGTAAAAACAAACAAGACATTTATCAGAGTATTCCCCCAAAAGACAAGATGTCTAGAAAAGGGATATCTTTGCTAAGAGGATATGAAATTGAGACTTTCTTCTCTCTCTCTCTGTCTCTCTTTCTCTCTCTATATATATATCTTTAGTATATATATATTCAGTTCTAATGGACTCTGTGAAGATATAGAGGAAAAGTAGTACCACATAATTCTACCTGTCATGTTCTGAATTCATACTAACTACCTAGAAAGTTCTTACATAAGCCTTGATGAGAGACTAGTCTAAGGGTGGGGAACCTGTGGCCTCAAGGCCACATGTGGCCCTTCAGGTCCCAAGTGTGGCCCTTTGACTGAATCCAAACCTCACAGAACAAATCCCCTTAATAAAAGGATTTGTTCTGTAAAGCTTGGACTCAGTCAAAAGGCCACATCCAAGGAACTAGAAGGTTACATGTGGACCCCTCATCTAGCGTATAAAAGGCTGTTGATGGGGAAGGGAGAGAAATATAGTCAATTTTGGGTCACTGGCCACCCTGCTCTATACTGAAGTCAGGAATATTGGGGCCTTGGATAACTGTGGCTATTATAATTATCTCCTGAACCAGTGTATCCTTATAATAAATCTAAATCTACAACAAGGAGTATCTCAAATAGTACCTTTAAACTATGTATAAAATAGATACAAAACTTTAACTAGACATAATGGCACAGAAATTCTATGTACTATCAACAAACTGCCCACTACGAAAAGCACATTTTTAAAGGATACTTAGCCACAGAGCTGTTTTCTTTCTAGAAAATGGACAGGCCTATAAATGAAGTGAACCTATAACAATTACTTGAGTATTCTTTCAAGGAACTTAAAAGCAGATTCACTGATTGAGAGCCGAAAAGGAATTGAGAGGTAATTGGGGCCACCCCCTCATTTTAAAGATTTAGAAACTTGATACCAGAGAGGTGAGGTCACCTGCCCAAGTTCACAGTATCAGCGCCACAATTTGATTCCACGTTCTACCCCCCCATCCTAGCACTCTTTCCATTGCCTTTTTGACATTTACTTAGTTTACCACAACTAAATTTTTTTTTCAACTTCCCCCACATGGATGCATCAGTTAATGATGGAGAAACACATATAAAGAATAATTCATTTTTTTTCCCTTTCACTCAGGCTTGAGGGTAATAGTCTAAAAATGAATATGGTTAACATGAATAAATAAATTATGTGAAGTAAGGGGAGAGAAATGATTATTGACAACCAATGATTTGGGGAGATACAGATTTCCCCCTTTTTCTATTATCCTCATTTCAAGATCACAGTTTCTACAGGCTGAACTAACATTTTCCTCTATCTGACCCCACCCAAATTTATAAGGAATCTCTAGCCTAAGGTGAATTCCATTCAATCAAGTTTGGGTGGAGACAGATTCTTTTGTGTAGGTTGCCCAAGACTGAGAGTGATCTGGTTACACAGATAGTCAGTTCAAGAGTGACAGGATGTCACTCTTTATCACCCCTCACTGGAGTAAGCTCACTTCTCATTGTAAAGTGGAACCAATCAGAGTTGATTGCCACCCTCAGGAACACTCTTCTTCCAAAAGGTCATATAAGATGTGAGACCGCCACCATAATTGTCTTTGGCTTAAGAAAGAGAGACAGTCAAATGATCATCTTTTAATTAATAAAATAATTAAATTACCCAGAAATGTGTCTCAAACCTTTTCAGCTGCACAAAGGATAAAGTGCTGCAGCTATCCTGCATACCCTTTTTTTAGAGAAACAAGATTCCACTCTGGAAAATAGTTACAAGAATTAAGTTACTATTATAATGATCAGAGACTTAGAATTGGAAAAGATCTTAAAATCAAGTCATTTTATGGGAACTGAGACCAATAAAGGGCAGTGACTTGTCCAGGGTAGTAAATGGGCAAGAGATGGGATACTCAAACCTAAACTATGTGTCCATTTCTAGCACTCTTTCTACTATACCAGGTTGTGTCAAACCCAATTAACAATCTATCGTAAAATTTGCAAGTACATCTTTTGGAAAACCAAAGAAATGAATACATTTTAAAATGCATACAAATATAAATAAAACATGAAAGTTCATTAAAAACTTAATTTTTACTAAGTGCTTAACCAATTAATAACAATAGACTTAGTACTTAAAAGTTTTCAAGGAATTTTATGTACATTATCTAATTTTAGCCTCACAATAACCCTATGTCTGGACCTGTGATTTCAACCCAGTGGGAAGCACCTAGTGTAAAAGGTTCATTCAATGATGCAAATTAGCAGCTCATCTGTAACTTCAGTTTTAAAGAGTTGTCTGGAACACTAAGTTTAAGTAACATAACCATGATCACAGAGCTAGTATGGGTTAGAAACAGATCTTGATCCAAGTTGTCTTTACTCCACATGGCTGGTGCTGCAGCTAAATACCAAACTGTTTCTCCAGGGAGGTACCGCAGGTACCAGTACCCATTTTATACCTAAGAAAATTCAGACTAAAGCAATGCAGTAGGAAGTGGCAGAGGCAGGGTTTGATTTCAAGTCTAGCACGCTATGGACCCACCACACTGCCTCCTGCATCAAATATTACCAGGCCTATTCAAATCATCAACCAAAAAAAAATCTTCCTAGAAGAACAAAAAATTCACTATTAATTTTATTTTTTATGAAACAAATTATCTTAAGGACTATTATGAAAAGAATAAAAATCCCCACAAAACCAGTATGAATATGATAAAAGAATTTAACATTTTGTGTATCTAATCTAAGTATAAAACATGCCTATTAAACTTGCCTTAAAGGGGAGAAGCTCTTCATGCATTATTAAGTCATGCTTTTAATAGTGTGAAAAAGTCCTTAAAACATGGTCTGTCAAATTTCAAAGTTAGTATATTATACTAGAAACTGTTTTACATGATCCATAAGATTTCTATCACTGAACCATTTTATAATTCACATCACTTTTGTAAGAAAGTTAAATCTAAATGAAAATGTGGAGGTACAAAACTGATTTAACTATACTAAATATGTTTCCAGCATAGTCTTAATATGCAGCAATCATTATGCTATATTTTATCTTCAAAAAATTACCTGTCATACAAAAACTTATGTCAATTTCCTAGGCAATTAATATAGTGGGTAAGAAGCAAACATCAAGTTTAGTTTTCACACATCTACTTTCAAGTACTTAAAAATAAAACAAAGCTAAATAAAAAATTTACTTTTTTTAAAAAAACAAGAGTTAAATGTTTTATATAATCTCATTAATTTTATAATGCAATGCCTTTGAGATATTGAAGTCCTAATGGGAACAAGATGAGGGAAATGCAAACTAGATAGCAGAAACCTTCACATAATTTTTGTCATTGCAAGGTAGCATGTGAGTTCACAAATGAATTGCGTAACTATTAATCAACATAAACATTATTATGGATTTAAATCACATACCACATCAATTCAACAACAAATTGAGAAAATAGTTTAATGTGTCTCTTTAAAAGAAATAACAGTTTTCTTTCTTAAAGGAAAATAAAACAATAGTTATGAAGTCCAGCGCCACCAAGCTACCTTCATTCTGTCCCAAACAGCTGTAAGAGAATCAAAAGCAGGACGGACATCCAAGATGGTAAACTGATAGTCCTTATTCACTTCTCCACCATCATAATAATCAATAACATATCTAACTTCCGTTCCACAACGATTAACAATCCAGTCATGTCTGTCAAAAGGCAATTCATATCTGAAATGAAAACACGCTAGTCAATACAGGCTCTCTATTATCAATTAAGCAGTTAAGTATTTATAACACATATTGCCCTCAAGGAACTTACCAACTATATACAGACATAAAGCTAACACAAAAAACAAAGAACCATATAATATTAAGTTATAGAAGTGCTGTGATACTAAATGTCATAATAATTCAGTGTAGGCTGTAGTTGTCAGGGAAGGCTTCAAGAAGAGTTGAGACTTGGCTCTGAAGGGTTTGGGTTGGGTGAAAAAGGTTACAGGGAAGAGTAGCAGCAAGAAAAAAAAGCTAAGAATATGGAAATAAGGTACAATATTTTTGGGTCTGAGAAAATGAGACCAGCTTCACCAGGTTAAGGAGAATGAAAAAACTGAAGTAGCAGAACTGATGCTGGATAGGTAGGCTAGGAACATATTATCAAGGACATTGAAAGGAAGACAGGGCAAACTAGACTTGATGTGGTAAGATGATGAGAGTTACTAATATTGTTGAGCAGGGAAACAGGACACTGAGACCAGGCTTTATATAGTTTAGATAGGCCAGGGCACAGAGAATAGAATGGAGGTAGAAAGGCAAGACTGGCTAAAAGCTATGATAATTCAGGGATAAGTTGATAAGAGCCTGAAATATAGTCCAAGTGGTAGGAGCGATAACAGCCAAAACAACAACAAAAAAGATGGTTGTTGCTACTCCTAGGAAAATTGGTAGGAGTCAGTTTTAGGAGGAAAGATGCAGATTTCTGTCTTGGTCTTGTTAGCCTGGCATGTTAAGTGAAAAAGCTGTATAGGGAACTGGAAATAGGTGAATAGAGTAAAAGGGCAGGAAATATAGATATATGAATCATTAGCACAGTAATAACAGTGGGTAAATCCTCTGAGAGAACATGAAATAAAAAAGTCAAAGAAGGGCTATGGAGAGAGCTTTGGGGGGGAGGGCAAGGTGCCACTCATAGTTAAGATGAAGAAGGTATAAGAGGAATATTAGCCTAATAGTACTAAAACCAAATATTTGACAAACAGCCCTACACAGAGTCCTTTAATACTTAACTCCAAAGTAACAACCTCATTGCCTAATTCAGTAGACTTTATTTTTTCATTTATGATGGCCCCTGTCTTCACTATAACAGATAATCTTGTCAACTCTCTCCTGAGATGCACAGAATACAAGCTGAATGGGACTCAGAGGTCATTCAACCCCACACCTGAGAGCATTTCCTTTGTAACATTTTCAACCAATAGTCATTTGGCCTGTTTGGAGACCTCTAAGGATGAGGAATATATTGAGCCAACCCACTTTCCTTTCTGACAATTCTAATTGTTGTAAAGATGTTTATTATACCAAGTTGGTATGTTTTTTGTATCTCTCTCCTACTCTACTTGTAACACTGAAATCTCCTGTTTCCCCCTTTTATTTGCCTCAGTACTACTTTTTCATATTCACTGGTTTTTCTTCCTTCTGTCTCCTAAACTTGGAAAAAAACCCAAAATGTGCTTGGCCCTCTTCTCTCTTGCTGAGCTCATTATCTGCTTCCATAGTTTCTATTATGACTTCATTCAGATGACTTCCAAATCTCCATCTCTAGCTCCAATGTATTAAGAAGAGCTTAAGTCTCACCTTTCCAAATTTCTGAAGGAGATTTCTATCAAAATTTCTCCCCATAACTCCAAGTCAACATGCTCCAAACATCCAGACTGAAATCTATGATTTTAGGTCAAACATGAATAAGCAAGTTATCAAATCTCACTGATTTTACTTTTTCATTATCTACTCCCTCCATCTAATTCAGGATTGTCTCTCTCTTCACCCAGATAATTATAAAAAAGCCTCCTTATTGGTTTTCCTGTCTCCACTCTCTCAACCCATTTTCTCTCTAGTTATCATAACCATCTCAGGTATAGAGCAAAAATCTTGTGTGGCATATCCAGCGTCAAATTAATACAGTAGAAACTCCTTGGCCTTAAATTCAAAGCCTCCTACAATATAACTCCAACTTATTCTATAGCCTTATTTCACATATTCCTCTTCACGCTGTCTATCTTTCAGCCAAATTAGGTTACTCACCCTCCTGTTATTCTTCTGCCTTCTTCTATTTGTGTCTTTTCTTCATGCCATCTCTAATTACTGGAAGTGAAATCTTCTATCATGTCTGCCTACTGAAATCTTTCCATTTCTCCTATGCTTAGTTAAGGTAACACCTACTCTATGAAGTTTTCCCCAATCATCTTAAGAGTAAATTATTTCTTCTTTTTGCAGTTTGCCATAGCTCTTTGTTTGAAATTCTCTTTTTCACTTATCATATTTTAATTTGTGCTATATTTGTGTCTGTGAACATTTTCTTTCTTCTACTATACTGTAATCTTATGTCATTTTTATCTCCAGTACTTAGTACAATGCTATGCTTATCCTAATTGCTTAATAAATGTCTGTTGAATTAAATTAGAGTAGATTGGTTTCCACAAATGCTTTAAGCAAAATTCTAATACAGTTGGTCCAACAGCTCCAATGATATTCTACAAATAAGCATGCCTAAAATGTGCTAAATTATTATTCTTTAATGAAGGAGTCAATCCTGAACATATATTCTAAAAGTAGGTGGATACAATATGCACAAGATGATTAAACTTCTGAATTTTTGTACATGAAACTAATCAATAATCACTAATTAATATGCATCCCTATATATTCCACAATAAAGCAATCTTCCACAAAGAGGAGTATAATATACAGTGTACTACTACAAATCAAGATGAGAGAATATGTATATGTACAACTGAAGAGATTAAGCTATGAAAAGATAGTACTCAAGCAACACTTCTCTTTTTTAAAAACAAAATAATTAAATGTTAGTTCACATTTTATAAAACTCTATAATACATAGAACAATACGCAAGTTTAGAACCATTAAAAATATTTCTGGACTATAACCTACCCCATCCATGAGCGAATTCTAGCTCTTGGTGAATATTCCTTAGCTTTACCTCCAAACCGGATCAGTGTTGGCCCACATGGGCACTCACTGTAAATACAAATAAAATTACAACCAATCAAAATATGTTCTTATTAAGGATGGTAAGCTAAAACTAAGAATCTTGAAAAAATCTAATTATTTAATTACATTAAATATTTAAGCGATGCATTCATGAAAAATATATCATTTTGCTCATGAATTAAGTACTTCAGGTCTCTTCTTGTTCCTTTCAATAGTCATTGTTTATTTAGAGGACATACTTTGGAAGTAGTATAGAAAAAGAAGTGGCTATTTTCTACTTGCTGGATGGAAATGAGTGTTTTTAGAATGCTCTTTTGTGATGTGTCAGCAAAAGAACAGAATTCAAATCCTATTTTTAGACAAAGTCACTTAACTTTCCTTTTTAAAAAAATATTTCTAAAATTTCTTTTTAAAATTAATTTATTTTTGGTTTTCAACATTCACTTTCACAAGATTTTGATTCTAAAATTTTCCTCTCCTCCCTCTCCCCGTGACAGCATGCAATCTGATAAAAAGCTATACATGTATAATCATATTAAACATAGTTCCATATTAGTCATGTTGTGAAAGAAGAATCACAACTAAAGAGAAAAACCACAACAAAGAAAAAAAAGAAAGAGAAAACAGTATGCTTTGCTCTTTAATTCATACTCCATAGTTGTTTCTCTGGATGTGGATAGCATTTTCCATCATGAATCATTAGGAATTGTCTTCGATCACTGCAATGCTGAGAAGAGCCAAGTCTATCAAGTTAGTCATTGCACAATGTTGCTGTTACTGTGTATAATGTTCTCCTGGTTCTGCTCACTTCACTCAGCACAGTTCATGTAAATCTTTCCAGGTTTTTCCTAAATCCACCTGCCTGTCATTTTTTATGGAACAATAGCATTCCATTCACAACTTGTTCAGCCATTCCCTAATTGACTGGCATCTGCTCAATTTCCAATTCTTTGCCACCACAAAAAGAGCTGCTATAAATATTTTTGTACACGTCGGTCCTTTCCCTCTTTTTATGATCTCTTTAGGAGACAGAACTAGTAGTGGTATTGCTAGATCAAAGGGTATGCAGAGTTTTATAGCCCTTTGGGCATAGTTCCAAATTGCTCTCCAGAATGGTTGGATCAGTTCACAACTTCACCAACAATGCATTAGTGTCCCAATTTTCCCATATCTTCTCCAATATTCATCATTTTCCTGTTGTCATGTTAGCCAATCGGATAGGTGTGATATGGTACCTCAGAGTTGTTTTAATTTGCATTTTTCTAATCAATGTCACTTAACTTTCTGAGCCACCTTTTGTTCATCTGGAAAGTGATGGGCTTGGCTCTGGGGCTATTGCACAATGGCTACAGTGTTGGACTTGGAATCAGGAAAACCTGATTTCAAATCCTGTCTCAAATACTTAATAGCTATGTGATCCTGTGCAAGACACTTAACCTGTTATCTCCAGTTTTGTCATCTGTAAAATTGGAATAAGAGGACCTAGCTCACACAGTTGTTGTGAGGACAAAAATGAGATAATACATGTAAAAGGCTTAGCACTTTTACAGTATTCTACAAATGCTAGCCACTATCATCATTATCATCATCATCATCCTCCTCCTCCTTCTAAGGTCACTCCTAGCTCTAAATCTAAGATTCTATAAACTAAATAATATAATGAAAATATAGGGGATTCTAAGAAGACTACTGCTTTTTTTTTTCAAATCATCCCTAAGGACTGAAAATATTAATTCCCTAAGGTGGTAGAGAATTATGATTATAGATGGTCTGTCTGATAAGATTCAGGTTCAGGAAGTTTGTTTTTTTGTATTGAAGTTTATATTACATAAATTTGTATTTTAGAAATACAAAGCTAGGCATGCATTCTTTAATAAGACTGCATGAGGTGAAGACAGAAAAAATACTGAGCAAATTATGCAACTTCATCCTTTTTAACCATTTCAATGATGACATGACTGAATTTTGATGCTCTCCTTTACCGATTACTAAGAGTAGGAAGGAGGAAGAATCCAAAGGATAAATGCGGGGCAGCTAGGTGGCACAGTGGATAGAGCAGCAGCCCTAAAGTCAGGAGGACCTGAGTTCAAATCCAGCCTCAGACCAAACACTTGACACTTATTAGCTGTGTGACCCTGAGCAAGTCACTTAACCCCAAGTGCCTAAAAAACAAACAAAAAACCCCCAAAACAAAGTATAACTGCTTCTCTATTATCCAAGGCTTGTTATCTTATTTATGGTCTTATGTCTCTAGTTTGTCCCTTTCCTCTTTTTTTCAGGTTTAATTCTTCTATAGGGTGGCCAAAGAACTGAAAACATAATTCAGTCAAAGCTGCTCCTAGCAAGTCTAAAGCATGCAATAATTACTTTTAATGCCTGCTGAATGATAATTCTGTGTGTGTGTGTGTTATGCATTAAGGACCAATACAGGGAAGGCATACAAAATCAAAAATAAACAGTCCCTGCTCTCACTTTATCAAGGTAGACGACATATATGTATAGAAATATATATACAAAATAGAAGTTGACTTTGAAGGAATGTACAGAAGCCTGGAATGGTAGGTGGAAGCCAGGCTGTAAAGGGCTTTACCTTCCAAAAAGAAAATTCTATATTTTTTTAAGAAGTAAGAAGGGGTTGGCCATTAGACTTTGTGAAGTAACGGAGTGTAAATGATCAGACCTGTGCTTCTGGAATATCACTTTGGCTGTGGTGTAGAAAGGGGAGAGGCTTGATGTAGAAAGACCAAAAAGTATAACTGGACAGGAAGTTGAAAATAAGTGGTTAAAAGTAAGTTTAGGGGTTATCTATTAATTATTTTTATTCCATCTATCCCTGTCCCACATTAGTAATGAAATTACCAGATTATACTTTAAAATTATTATGATCATACTACTTTAAATAGAGATATTAAAACTCTAAAGAGTGAGAGGCAGCTGAATGGTATAGCAGATGAAGAGTACAAAGCCTAGACTCAGGAAGACTTGAATTCAGCCTCAGACACTTACCAGTTGTGAGAGCCTGGGTAAGTCACTTCACTTCTGTCTCAGTTTCCTCAGCTGTTTAATGGGAATAATAATAATAATACATCCCTTCCAGGGCTGCTGTGAGGATCTAAATGAGCCAATATTTGTAAAGTGCTGAGCACATTGCCTGGCACATAGCAGGTACCTAATATTCCCCCTTCCCTTTCCTAATGGTCATTTCCTATTGGTGCAAATCTAAAAAAGTGCTCATAGGATTCATTAAAAGTTTGTCATAAATGTACTTACACAGCATGAAGAGCTTCCCACTTTAAGATCTCTTTCCAAGCCTGTTCGTTATTCTGATTATGAATCTTAATAATATTATACATATCTTTCTGACTGATGTCATCATCTTTCCACTTCCACCTAGTAAAAAAGTATTTTACAGAATTCTTAATTACTTCAAAATACTGCTATAAAATTAATCAATGCACATTTTAAAGAAGTCATATACAACTATAGTTTATATACAAGCAAATTAAGCTAATTATTTGGTTCACTGCTTTAATTCTTAGGCATTTTGATGATACTTATATAGTTGAAGAATACATTATGTATATTATATTTACTAATAAACTCAAAATTTATTCAGTATATTAGCTGAAAGGAAATTATTATTTTAATGTAATAACATTTCACAAACTACCAAATATTAGTGAGTTAGCAAGAGCATTCTGGAAATACTCACTGCCAAATGTGAAGCAAGAATACCTATTTGATAGAAATGATTAATGTTCCTATTATTTTTTCAAATACTTTATGTGAAAATAAGGAATTCTTACTTCACTGTGGTTGGATTCACACATATTTTGATAAAGCATGCTTAAAGTCAATGATAACTATTAGAAAATAAGTTTTGAAATGTTTAGTATATATTTGGGGGTAATTCTATATCATACATCTTTCAGGAAATGTTTTTAAAAATTATATTTACAGTCTACTTAACATCATTATTTACCTACCCTTTTCTTAACATGGCATTCCAAAACATCTGTTCTGAAGGGTAAACCCACTTTTTTTCTGAATCTGCCCTAGGAATCGATGACTCTTCCCTAACAGTTGATAGTGCAAACGGCTGACCAGGGGATGGTGTCTGATTAGGCGGTGGCATCTAAACAAAATAATAAGATTGCTGAGGTTATTTTTTTAAACACTGGGAAAATTCTGATAACGAAAATATCAATTATTAACATAAAGATCAACTGCTGATTGCTAAAACACCAAAATTATTATTTGACCATTTTTTTATATCATATACACTCATCAGTCATATAAGCTCTCTATGACCAAATTCTCACACTAACATTTTCAATACTTCATACTATCTATCCTTGGAAATAATTTTGCATTTTTAAAAACCCAAGAGAATCAAACATAAATTGCTTTTCTCCAGCAGTTATTATTTCTACTGTACTGTAAACACAGTTGCTCAATTTCCTGTTTTGTTTAAAATGTCAAACTACAAGCTAATACTTTATTTTTTTCAAAAAAGGTACAAGGCTTTTTAAGCTATTATGAGATTTTATGAAGTATAAATATTTATTAGATGTTAATTTTTAGAAATGTATACTAGATAAAAAAGTGTTACCTGGAAAAGTCACTTAACCTCTGCCTGTCTCTATTTCCTCCTTAGCAGAGTACCGAGCATACAACAGGCACTTAATAAATACTTATTCCCCTGTCAAATGATATCCGTAAATGCCAAGGATAGTAATTTTCAAATGATGCGCTCTCAATTTGTAATTGTAACAGGGCAATAAATACTCTGGATAAAATATACTCTCCTTTGCCCATAGCCCAAATGATCCCTTTCATGCTGAACAGCACAGAACTTTGACATTTCAACTTGGGGGAAATGAGTTCTGTAATGTACTTCACTAAAGTTTTTCTCCCCAAATTCCAAAATGTTTGGGCAAGCTCAAAGCTTTTTTTTTCTTTTGAAAAATTAATTGTGACCAAGTAAACAGAAAGCAACTTAATTGAGCCAAATTACTTTAACTTACTGAATAAATGCCTTCAACAAGATTCAAATGTTAGTTTGGGCTAAGACAGGTAAACATAAGAAATGTTCATTTGGGGAATTTTATGTTTGTTTTTTGTAAAATCATAGCTGAAGATGTTTGTGCATTATACCCCTTTTATAAAAGATCCATATAATAAATTTTTCCTAAATTTAGCACCAGGAAAGCTTATCCTAGTAAAAAATGCATTCTTCCTTTTATCAGCTAAGATGTTGTAGGCCTGGAAGTTTTTCGTTTTGCCTTAACTGCCAGCAAGGTCAGAATTAAGTGCCTGACTGCAATAACTAACTTATCTCAAGTTGATAGTAGTATAAATTCCCCATTTCTTTCAAGAATTTTAGTAAATGCTTAACAAATATTTGTTATTTGACTGATTGTTTTATATTGTTCTGTTTTTCCACATTTAACTTCAGTAAGTTCTTCCAATCCTTTTAGAGAATAAGTGGGGGTATAACTCCTAAGTATGTAACTATTTAACAAAAGCTTTGCAAAAATAATTGCTCATATTTCCAAGCCATAAAGGCTTTAAAATAAAATATACTTTTTCCCCCTTCCTTATTGTTCTTTACATGCTGCTTTCATCCCATGGGTTAATTATAGTTCAACCCTTCCATATCAGGAGTTGGGGAGCAACCCTTTCTCTAATATAGAAAAGGACAGCAAGGTTATTAGATTTAAAAGTAGTACTAGTTTTGAAGTTTGCTCTTATTTGTTGATTTTTACAATGAAGAAAGGTATGTCAGATAAGCAAATTTTTAAAAACCAGTTCAAATCAGAGACAGTAACTCTTTTTGTCTTACTGAATAATTTCACATTCTCCATTTAATCTGAGCTCACTGATGTGTACATCCCCTCCACTGATGCAGACTACAACCCACCTATGCCAGCGTGTTTGTTTCCAGACCATGTCCTCCAACAGTCTGTCATGGAGGTCCCAACTTTGCTTTCTCTGGACAACAGCTATCTCTTGTTCTCTCTCTGTTACCATGTCAAACTGATAATTAATTGTGTATCACCAAATGTTACGGGTAATTTATTATATGGGGAATTTACATAAGGTCTTAGAGAAAATTATATTTTAAAAAAAGAAGTGGCATTAAACATACCATGTTTGAAGGATCAATGTTATCTTTATTTTGATAGGCAGCTGATGTTACAGGACATTCCACATATTCATAGGCTCGATCCTGATGTGCAGGTACTGAGTTAGATTGACTTTCACAAGTTTTGTCAGATGGGTTTACATTCAATGGACAACCTGAAATTTAAAAAAAATATATTCAAAAGAATCATCATAAATGATGACAATCTTAGCCCTTATTATGGTGACATGTTGGGGAGAACCAAAGCTCTAATGACCAGTGACTTCCTAAGAGGGAGCATTTTTAAAAATGTACTCAGACTCAAAAAATAGCAGAGTTAGAAGAGATATTAAAGACCCTCTAATGTAATGCAAAGCTTGACACATTTGGTGCTATAGCCCTCAAATTCAGGAGCCAAACAAATTTATTATATAAGTTAAATAGTCACACATTTTAATCTTAAAAACAAACAAAATCACAACCAAGGAAGTAGGAGAAAGAACACTGCAACAAGAGAACTTCATTGCAACTCAATCCCCAAACTGTTAAACTTATATGACTGGGATATTTTAGTCAATACAGAAGGACTCCTAAATTCTAATATTTATGTGAGAGATAGTGATGGTACCCAAGCAAGAGTGAACAGATATGAGGGACCTGCCCACCTTTCATTCTCTTTTTTTTCTTTTTAAATTGGGCCTCCCTAGTTCCTTCAGACTGGATATAAAGGCAGCTTTGATATACTCCATTTTTCTAACCTGGGCCTGCTTAGGCAACCTTGCATTACCAGGGGTTCACCTTTGATGCAAAACTTAGTATGGACACCAATCAGCTGAGCCCACTCTAAGTCAGAATTCTGCCCACTGTAGCTTATCTAGGCACTATGGGTAAGCAACACCGAGTGCAGCCCCACCTTTCATTCTAAGGAGGCTATATGAAGAGACAGAAGAATGGGCAAACATTATCTGCTGGGGGGTTTTTTGGAGGGGGAAAGTTTAGAACAGGCTTCTTTCCCCAATCTCAGAAATGAGAGCTCCTCCCAAGAAGACCCGGGACCAACATGGTATATTTCACTTATAATTAGGCATCCTAAAACACTAATTACATCATACTAACTCCAAGTACCTTCTTTGAGAAGGACACAGGATACAACACTATGAATGACTGAACTTAACAAGTACTTAAATGTCCATATGTAATAGTAGGAAAATTGCAACCACTACTATGAATCTGACCTAAGTGGTATGAATGAGGGGCAGCACCCTGAGAACCTTTAGCTTCAAGTAACATCTGGTTATATGGCTAACATCCATGCATGTTTTAGAGTTAACTGTAGCATGAGCTTGTCTTAGGAGAATAAACAATGATTTCCATGTATAAAGAACTACCTCTACCAGCAGACTGCAACTCATCTATGACTTAGTAGACAAATCCTAAGGAGTTGCTTGAGGGAAAAGTCAAGTGACTTGCCTAAGGTCATACAACTACTTTCACTACCTCTTAATGTTTTATACAAATTCTTCCTTTGTATCCCCAATGCCTACCATAGAAGTGCCCAGCAAGTACAAGTGTTTAACAAATGCTCATTGCTTGACAAAATGGAAATCTAAAGACTAGAAATTCCTAAGCTATTCTCTCAACACTTTGAAACAAGAAGTCACATACCACAAACCAATCCAATGCTCTCATTCTATACAACATCCTTATAATGGACAAGAGAAGTTCCAAAGTAAAATATAAATTTCTCCATGTTCACTTTTCATCTAGAGAAAGACTTGAGTCAAATAAAACGTAAGTACCTGTGGGATATAATTTAGCCTTGTGTTAAGACATAATACATTCAGAAGTAAACTTAAATAGATACTAAGAGAAATTTGTAGGTTTTAAAAAAATCAGTTCTATGATTTGCATATTGTGTGCAAATGTATATATTATACACCTACCTGATAATGCCTTCGAGGAAAATGTAATAATTAAATGAAATCTGATACCTCTACTCTTTTAAAATAATACGATAATATCTCTGGGTCTCTAGAAGACAACAAGAAGTAGAATCTCTGGTTTGCTACTATTATTTTAAACCATTTTAGGAAGATTCATATTTTTGGAGTTTTCTTACATAAAAACAAGTTACCTTTTTCTTTTCTTTCATGCATCGGGCATCCTGAAGGAGGAGGGCCTGCCTGATGTTGTGAAGCAGTTGAGACCTGCACTGCAACAGCAGGAGTGGATGTGGACATACCCATGGTCTGAATCACCTTTTGGACAACTCGGGACAATTCACTTTTAACGATGTCCTTCAGAAGATCCCCTTTTCATCCACAATCTATCCTACATAAAATCTGAATTGTCAGAAAAGTAAAGACTATTTTATGGAGGAGTAAAAGGAAGGCCAGTGAGGTAAACTAATTTTCCCAAAGTGACACAGTTAATTAAGGAGCACCATGAAAATCAGATACATAGCTCTTCTCTACAGGTGTCCAACAGGGTATTTATGCACCTGGCAGCAACATTAGTAAAGAGGATCACTTTAAGGGAATTTTTTAGGAATCTCCCTATTGGTAATACCAATGGAAGATGGAAATCTATACTCTTTAAGCTCCAATCCCTCCTACACACTATTACTACTTATGTCCCCCCATTATCAAGCAAAAACTGGTGGGTGAACAGAAAACACAAATAACAGTGGAAAGGAATCAATGGTGGATGTGAGGGTGCGGGTTCGATCCACTGTCTGTCTTATAATGACAACTGTGTGACACTGGGGAAACCACTTAGTTCTTCGGGTATCAGTTTCCTCATCTGTACGATGCGGGGGGGCGGAAGGACTTGGTAAAGTACAGGGGACTAGGGCATGGAGAGGCCTTTGAGAGGGATACCCTTGGAGATTAAGAAAGCCATAACCTTAAGGATAAAGAGAGAAAATAAATGGGCACGGGAAGGGAAAGTCGGCACGTCACGGCCGAGGACCGGACGGGAGTGGGGGGACGAGAGGAGGGGTGTCCCTTGACTCCCCCCTGCTCAGGGCCTATCACAAAGGACATAACCAGGAGGGGAAGAAAGGTGGCGGGGGGCACGGGGCAAGGCGGGGGGCGCGGCTGGGGAAGCAGGAGGGGAAGGGGGCCTGGGGCCGGCCCCGCCGCTCTCACCCACCTGTCCCGGGCCTGGCCGGCCGCAGCGGCTGCAGCCCAGTGCCCCTCTTGACCCTGAGCCGCCTCCGGCGCTCTCCCTTCCCTTCCCCTCCTTCTCCTCCGTGTCCCAGGCCCCGCCCTCCCCCTCCTTCCCTCCTCCCACGTCTCCCCGCCCACTCGCGCTCTAGAAAGCCAAGGCTCCCAGGCAGAACCTGCCGCAGTCTGCTCCTCCCCCCCCTCCTCCTCAGGGCCCCAGCCTCACGCTACTCGCGCTTCCTCCCTCCGTCCACTTACTTCCTCCCCTCGGGGCGGGACTTCCGGTCTCGAGAGGGGCGGGGAAACATCATAGCGGAGGGGGAGGGCTGCGACTAGCTACGCCCCCTTCTCCTCCTGCTGCCTTCCCCTTCACCGCTCTACTCTTCCTCCTCCTTTCTCCTCACCGCCCTGCCCACCTTTCCAGGTGCTCTTGGGTATTTGGAGCTTCTGGCTGTTTGCATTTAGGTAAGAAAATAAAAAAAAGAAAGAAAGAAAAGCAGACCAGTTGTAAAATCCCATCCCGTTAGATTGTAAGCTCCATGACTGCCTGGTCTTTTTGTATCCCTGACTCTCAGCACGGGGTTTGGCTCATTGTAGGAGCTCAATAATGATTATTGCCCAAATGTTGATTAATTGGAGTCTGCTTCCGGTATCCTATTAGATATTTAGCTCCTTGAACCCAGGACTCTTTGGACTCTTTGTATCCCTGTGCTATAGGCCCTGTGTCTATGAGGAAAGGCAAAAGACGGCTCCTCCTGTCTAGAAGCTTACAGCCCAAGGGTGAAGACAACACGTAGACAACTAAATAAACAATTATATATAATTTATATACAGGATAAATTGGAAATAGCCAACAGAGGGAAGGCACTAGAATTAAGGTGGTTGGTTTTTTTTTAGAATATGCAGATAAATTATAGGAATTTTTAAAAAATGTTTTAACTTTGGCTTTAAAATAAATGGCAATTCTTCGTTTTGATTTCAAATCCAGCAGGGACGTGGTTTCTCTATACAAGTTATTCTTTGGGGAACAGTACCAGTGTAGATACCTGCCTGTTAATCAGCAAACATTTATTAAGTGTCTACTGTGTGCCAGACACTCTGCTAGGCACCGGGTACACAAAGACAAAGAAGCAGCCCTCGCTCGCAGGGAGTTCACGTTCTGCTAGGGAGACAACGTCTATATGTTAGCAGAGGAATAGGGACTACACCTGTTACTTCATTAGTCTAGGGAACTCCCAGGTGATACAATTCCCTCTGTCAGAGTAGTCTGAGGCACTTTTGAAGCAACTTATAGAAATATTTAGAGCACAGGATTACACTGGCATGTTTCAGAGGGAACTAAGATCTCCTGACTTGAAAACCAACTCTATTACATAATGCTTCCTCTTTACATTAGTATCATGTACAAGGTATATTCAAAATAAATGCAGGGCAATTTGGGGAGGAAAACAAGGCATTAGGATGATTGACTTTTGTGGGCTGATTAAATAATCCTTTTTCTTCTTAGCTTAGTACTATAGGTCAGTGGGGTCAAACTCAAATAGAAATGTGGACCACTCATCCATGCGTAAGGATCCTGTGGGCCACCCATTGATTTAGTATCAAAATGTAATGTTATTTAGATTTTATTGTACTTTTATTTATTTTATAATATTTTATTATTATAAAAGTGTTACAATTATATGATTATATTTGTTATTATACAATTTTGTAAAATGATTTATATCTTTAGGTGTAAATAGAATCCTCTCCCAAACCCCAACATAGATTTGGCTAATTTTTCCCTAAAAAGCTGTCTCCTGGGCACTTGGGGAGAAAAGGGTCAGGAAAGGTCTCAGAATGAGCCTTTGAGGAAATTGGGGATTCTGAGAGGTAGAAGTAGACTGCATTTTGTACCTGAGAGATAGCCTGTGTAAAAGTAAAAAGATGAAAGGTAGCTAAGTGGTGCAGTGGGTAGAGCATGGGCCCTGGAGTCAGGAGGACCTGAATTCAAATCTGGCCTCAGACACTTGACACTTCCTACCTGTGTGACTCTGGGCAAGTCACTTAACCCCCACTGCCTCCAAAATAAAAAAGTAAAAAGATGGGAGATGTACCATCATGTGAGAAAATGCAAGAGAGCCAGTTTGCCTGGATTGCAGAGTGCAGGAAGGGTCACGATGTGGAAAAGTAGCCAGGTTTGTAAAGAGTTTTTAAATGCCAAACTAGAGAAGTGCACATTTTTAATGCTAGAAATTTATTTTTCCATGGAACATGGAAATTAAAGTTACATTTGTTACTGGGAAGGCTTTAAAGAATAAGAAATTCCAAACCTCTTCTTGGCTCACAGCTGTTGAGGAAGAGGAAATAAGCATTTAGTGATAGCTAAGTAAAGGATTAGTACTGGAGTCAGGAAGACCTGATTTCAAATTTGTCCTCAGACACCCACTATCTGGGTGACTGGCCATGACCCTGTATGGAATTTTCTTGGCAAAGATAATGGAATCGTTTGCCATTTCCTTTTCCAGTGGATTAAGACAAACAGATTAAGTGACTGACCCAGAGCCATTCATCTAGCAAATGTCTGAGGGCAGATTTGAACTTGGGTCTTCCTGACTCCAGGCCCAGCACTGAACCACCTCTACTAAAATCTTTTCTCTTAGGAAAGTGCATAAAAGGTCCAAAATGGAAGCTGAGATGGTGCAAAGGATTAAGGGTGGTAACTAAGCAGAATGAGAAATACTTCAGATCTAGTTAAGATCATTGTGTTTCAGTGTCAGTATTTTTTGTTTGACACAAGAGTCTGGTAGCATATTTCATTTGTATTTAAAAATAATAACTTGTGATAGGAATTTTTTTTAAGCTCGAGATAATTTACTATAGGGTTAGAATGTTGTCACTTTTTGTGAATTCAAATTCCCCTACCCTGGAAGGGTAGGGGAATAGAATATGCAGAAATATCTGTAATATAAAAAAAAATTTAAAACCCACTGTATTTTTAAAGTTCCCAGACATCTATCTATCTATATTGTGTGTATGTACATATACACACACATTTCAAATTTAAAAAGTGAATTTTACTGATATCTTCTTATATGTATATATATTTAAACTTTAATAGCTTAAAACCATACTAAGATTTTTGGAACATCCTACACAGTACTCCAACATTTACAAATCTAAACACTAGTTTTGGAGACTGCTAGGTGGCATAGTAGATGGAGTGCCTGGCCTGAAGTCAGAAAGACTTCCTGAGTTCAAATCCGGCTTCAGACACTTACTAGCTGTATGACCCTGGGCAAGTTACTTAACCCTCTTTACCTCAGTTTCCTCATCTGTAAAATGAGCTGGAGAAGGAAATGACAAACCACTCCAGTATCTTTGCCAAGAAAACCCCAAATGGGGTCACAAAGAGTGACTGTTTCATGGCTGAAACAATTGAATAAGAACAAGGACGCGTAATTCCTACTATATGCCAGACACTGTATTAAGTACTTTACAAATATTTTCTTATTTGATCCTCACGACAACCCTAGGTGCTATTGTTATCTTTATTTTACAGTTGAGGAAACTGAATCAAACAAATGTGAAGTGATTTGTCCACGGTAACACAGCTAATAAGAGTTTGAGACTAGATTTGAACTCAGGTCTTCCTGATTCCAGACCCAGCATTCTATCCCCTGTGCCACCTAGCTGCCTGATTTAAGAAGATCACTTTGGATTTTTTGGACATGGTCAATGTGAACGTTTATTTTACTTGACTATTCATATTTGTCACACGGGTTTTTTTTCTTTCTTTTTTTCTTGGTCAGTGAGAGGGAGAGAGATACATTTTTGTTATTTAAAAAGTGTAAAAAAAAATCAGTTTGGAGGCTGCGTGGAAGACACTGAAAAGGGTAGAGATCTGAGACAAAGGGAATTATGAGGCATTTGAAATAATCCAGATGAAAGTTAGTCAGTCATCCAATAAACATTTATTAAGCATCTATCACGTGCCATGCTCTGTGCTAAGCACTGGAGATACAAATAGGAGAAAAGAGAGAGGCGACCCTCAAAGAGCACACAGTCTAAAGGGGAAGAAAACAAGCAAGCATATATGTACAAAAAATATACAGGATAGAGAGGAAATAATTAAAAGAGGGAAAGTGCTATAATTGAGAGGAGTTGGGAAAGGCTTCCTGTTAAAGATGAGATTTTAGTTGGAACTTAAAGGAAGGGACGGAAACAGTAGATGGAGATGAAGAAGAACTCAGCAGATGCGGGGGATAGCCAGAAAAATATTCTCAGAGCTGAGAGATAACATGATTAGGATCTGAACTAGAGTGGTGGCTGGAGGAATAAAGAGAAGAGAACAGATGAGAGAAATGTTGAGGAGGTACAAATGAAAAGATTTGACAATGGATTAGATACGAGGGGTGAAGGAGAGTGAAGAGTTGAGAATAACACTGAGGTTGAAAATCTGGGTTTTTGGAAGGGTGATGGTACCATTGAGAGAAATAAGGAAGTTCAACAAGTGGGTTTGAGGAGAAAGTTAAGTTCTGTTTTTGGCATGTTGAATTTGAGATCAATCATCAATCAATCAAAAAAATTCATTAAGTTGGATTCAAAAAAATCAATTGCCCAAGTAAAGAATGAGAAGGTCCACGGTTACACAGACCTGTGGGTTTGGTAGTTCAGTATGAGTTAACAGCACTACAAAAAAAAAATAATGCAACTTTATGTTGTCAAACTTATTTGATGTGCTGGTTAGTTTTCCTGAACTCATTAATACACTCTATTTTCCCTCTTTGTTACCAAATATGGCATGCTGGATAGAAGAGGAGAGAAGCATATATTCAAGGATGAAAATTATACAAAGTTAAAGATGTCAATAAAATAAAAAATGCAACATTGCACATTGCACCAATGCCAAGAACAAGGAAGATGATAGATCTTCTGTAATCTGTACCTCTAAGGGTGTAATACAATCAGTTCTTTGTGGTGCATTTTTTCCTTCTGAATGGAAATTATCTTGGTATATGGTGTGAGGTGTTGATGTAGGTCTGATTTTTATGAGACTGCTTTCTGATTTTCCCAGTAGTTTTTGTTAAATTGTAAGTCCTTGCTGCAGTAGTTGGGGTCTTTGGATATATCAGACACTGTGGTACTTGGTTTTTTTTTCCCATATATTCAATACCTAATATGTTCTGCTGATCAAATTCACTACTCTTTAACCAGTACCAAATGGTTTTGGTGGTTACAGTCTTGCAGCCTAGACTAAAATTTGGCAGTGTTAGTAGATGCCATATTTTAAGGATTATGGCCATGTTCAATTCATACAGTCATACAGTCTTTAAAAATATAAAAACAAGGCTCACATTCTTATAATCTAGCCAATAGCTCACTAACATTCAGACTCCTTAAGAGTCTGCCCAATATGATGGATGTTCTAATAAACCTTGTCTTTGGCTGAAAGAAGGCTTGGGTCTAATTCTTTAGGCCAGGAC